ACTGTTTACATTACCTCACATCTCCTTCCCGCTCTTATCAATGGGTTTGAAAATCTATTGATGGCAAAATGTCTAGACAGATGGCAGGAATGTGGGGAGAATATCAGAAAAGGAATACCCCGAAACGGCGGGCCTGCCAGGAAGAGTTTAGTACGGATTACCTACAAGTCCTGCTCTCTAATTGATTAGTCATTATGTTGCTGTTACTGCTTATTTACTTTTACTCCTACGAGAAAAATTTCGGGTCTCTTTAACTTTTCGCAAGCGAAGGAAGTATCGGGGCGGATATAAAAGCGGAAGCGGAATTGTCTACGCTCCCCAGGGATTTCTTCCCTTTGCAAAATTTCAATTCCTGTAGATGGTAGCAATTGTCATACCACATGCCCGTCTTCCTTAGTGGATGGGACCCAGAAATTCCTCTAGGACAGCAATTCTACTAGCAATAGCAGCATAAGACCAGCAGCGGTGGACAAATTCGGTCAAAGGTTCCAAGCGAGCGTCCTACGACCTGTTCTTGTCTTATTAGTAGATTGACCGAGTAATGCATAAAAGAAGACAACTCGTCCGCACGTGGGTGGAGTTGAGTCTAATGCTGCGACTGTTCATAGGATGCTCACGCTATATGTGCTTTGGTCTCAGGGTTCCGGCTCATAATGCCAAGGTGTTCAGTGTTTCTTTAATATTGGAAGGATTAATCTGACAGTAAGATCACTAAACTATCATTGTTCAACAGAGCTGCTGGAACTACGAAGTAAGTTACGTGATTAGTCGAATGTGAAATGTGTTTGTTGTGACAGACTACCAGGGAAGGCATTCAACTTCCCATGGAACTTTGAATTGAGACCCAGATATATCGATAGAGCTTCAAACGCTGATTACAAATATGGAAACTAAAACTGCAAAATGAACCTGCCAAGGAAGTTGTGAGCAGTCAAAGTTGGCTAAAGTAAAGCGTTACATATGAACCGTGCTATGTTCCAGGCTTTCAATGTCGCCGCGGAGTAGTGATAGTGCCTCCGCTCTCCACCGGGGTTCATAAGTTCTCTTCCTGTTGGAGTGCAAATTTTGAGGAGCACTCCCACTACTCTGCGGCGAACTGCCGAAAGCTCGGACTAGCCCGGGTAATACAGACGCCTAACTTGAACCGCCACCCTGTGACTGTCCAACAAATTCCTCGCAAAACATCATTATGCAGTTTAGTCGTTCGGTATGTTTGTAATACAGCGTTTGAAAGTTCTAGTCCATATACGTGGGTCTCAATTCAAAGATTCATGAGAAGTTGAAAGCCTTTCCTTGTCAGTGGTTACTGTAAATAAACTTCTAAACAAAAGATGGTCCTAGCAATCAACTGATGTGCTCTGGAAATATCACAAAATGTGTGGGACCGGCGGTTACAGAAGGCATAACCCTTGCCATTTAATTACGCCCACTAGTGACCTTTACTACATAATCACACGCTTTGTTTTTTTTGGTTTTTTTTTTTTTTTTTTTTTTTTTCTAACAGAAGAAGCCTGGATGCCCTTTTGTAAAAATATGCAGCAGGACGCCCGCAGCGCAATGACGAAAGCACAGACCAGATGGTGAGGCGGAGGAATCTGCATTACTGTATTGATTTCGCATCAATTCCAGGGGAATACTACCCAGTATTCCATATTCGCACAGTACGTCGTTCGACTGGTCCGCGTCGACCGTCTGCGTCTTCTGCTTCTGCGGCCGTGTAAGTGCCTCACCATGTCGGGTACGGCGTTCAAAAGCCCTCATTAACTTGATCCACCGCGTAGGTGGTCGCGGCGCAGGGCCAATGTGTCGTAGAGCGGCGTTAGATGAGTCACCACATTTCAATAGGTGGAATTCAAGACTCGCGATTGAGGTCGAGTCGCGGGCAGCGTGTGCTGGAGGGTACTGAGTTGATCGTGTCGTTATGGATGGGTTTGTCGTCTGTCCGTGGTCGCAAACAACCATCGCGTCTGAATCCATTTCGACCTAAAGTTCCAGCCAGTGCAGAAAGCCCTCTGACCTCTTATCAGCTGGTTGAATTGATCGATATGCAATTGATGAAAAGTATAAACAGCTGAGCGAAATCGACCTAACACCACCCCCTCTCACTGTCTGTAAAACCGTCTAAACTGCCGCTATCGTTAGACTGAAATGAAAGCAAATGTGTTAAGTAGTGCAAAAAGTAAGTGTGCATCTATGAAGTTGAATAACTATACAATTACAAAAAAAATCTAGTAAACCCAAAAAATGTGAATAGAAAAGAAAACCTATGAGAATCGTGCATTATCTCTCTGTTATTCAAGCAACTAGTAATTATGCTAAACATCTATTAACTTATTATTGCTAAGTAGCGACTACAAATGGGAGGCAAAAATGTTACCCTAGTGATTTGAAGTTCATAGGGTTGCTTCGAGGAGCTATGCGTATGGGCGGAGCCGGGCGTTCGCGTCTACATTCCCATTGGTGCGTGTACACGCTTTCCCGAACGTGTCCTGTACACGCACCAATGAGATGCGTTTGCGGTGCCCCAGCAACCCCGCCCACACCACCAGCGCCAATTTTTGCTACAGTCCCTTAGTTTCCTAGCTTAGAAGCGTATTCCTAGAAGTACCTTGGGTGGCGGTTGTGGTGGTGCAACGACCGGTGCCTTGGCATTCTTCATTGGCGAATCTTCCACACTGTTCGCCCTGCTGTTTTTCAGTGTCGCATCGCTTTTCGTCGCCAAACTCAAGTCCTCAGACGTAGACGCATTGCCTAGAACTCAGAAAATCGCCAGATCAAGGTTCAGGAAGAGGTACTTGAATAGTTGCCAAAGTTGTTGTTAGCAGCACACGCCAAGTGCTTGTATTTCAGTCAGAATAGCGTGTTCAATTGAATGCTTGTGATGGACCTACATATGTTAAATGAATGTATTAAGCAATTAAATGGCGAAATTTTCGACACTTCGCATAAGGTGGGTTACGCCATGAACTTAATGTCCACCACGAGTCGTACACGATCGTTAGCGATGTAACAGCGACCTGCAGAATCAGATCCACAGGTCATATGAGGTCCAACTCTGGCCACTATTGTTCCAGCTCTTATGAGTCTTTGCCGAGTTAAAGCCACAAATTAAGCCAATTCGTAGCGTTAGCTAGCGAAGCAGTGAGTGTCTAGAGCTCAAGGCAAGCGGTAAGTTTCCTCAGAGTTACCTGCAACCTGCTTAAAACCATACGGCGTAGCTAAGTTGTTGATCTTGAAGAATTTTGGAGGTGACATGGTCTTCATGACGCTCCTTGGAATCTCGGGTCTAGCCCCTGGTGGTGGTGGAGAAGGGCTAGCTGTAATGGCTCCCGGTGGCGCCGACAGTCTAGTCAAATCAGGGCTTGGTGACACCGATGGACTTGCCAGCACCGGGACCACTATCATCGGGGGATTGGCGAGAACGGGACCCGATGACGATATTGAGCCGACTGAAACCGGGCCATATGGCACCGATGGACTAGCTGAAACAGCTCAACAGTAGTTACAGAAAAAATCCTTCAAAAGGTTCTTCAGACTATTCCACCTTTCCAAAAGCCTCACCACCCGTTCCACGTTGAAGAAACCTTGATCACGGATCGTCCTGTCCCTCCCTTGTTGGGGAATGAATAAAGGAGCTCAGGAGGTTTTTGGAAAATTGGCCACTCTCGGTCGGACTTAACATATACCGTGAAGGTCAGTGTTGCGTTAGATTCACAGAGAAGTTCTCTACTTGGATGAGGTAGCACGCCCCAATCACAGGGGTACTGTAGCGGCTTGAAAGTGCGCGACGACAGAGCCTATTTACTCCCTTCCCCATTGCAATCGCTTATCTTATCATCCTGTCCATTAGTTCTTGGGAAATAAATGAAAAAGCTCGAGAGTGCTGAAAATTTGGCAACCTGGTTAGACCTACATCTTGAAGGCGTGTAGCGATTGGTTCCTCAGAGAAGTTCTTCACTCTTGAGTGAGGTGGGGCTAATCACATGGGTACTGTAGCGGCTCCAAAGTGTGCGACGAGAGAGCTTATTTTTCCCTTCCCCGTTGCGATCGCTTTCTTATCATTCGCAGCACCCGTAGCGTCTACGCCCTTCGGCGTACAGTGTGCTTTCTCATGTTTTCCCTCTCCTCGAGGTGCTTTGTCTCTCAATCGTACCTCGATCGGCCTCAGATGAATAATTTCAGCCTTTTCTATGAAGCTTTTTGCTTGCACCCACATTCCCCCACCAACGTTCCTCTCCGCATTTCTGGTGTGATTTTCGAACAAATAACACATCATTTCAATCGCGAACGTAAAGAATTCATCGCTTTTTAGGGAATCATTTATGAACGTACCTGATTTCGAAAAGTCCGCAGACGGAACCGGTGGATGTGGCCTGAAAGATCAAACTACTGCTAACGGATCACAATTTTCTGAAAGGCTAGTCTATGTAAGAGAGGGTACGTTTTGGTGAAGGAACCAGCTATCAGAGGAAATCGATCTCTCTCAGAATCAGAACTGAGCAAACAGAAATCGGTCCCTTGTATACTCCGCTTTAGAAATCCAGAAGGTGGTCGAGTGCAGACCACACACCACAAGTGACGACGGCCTCCACAAAATGTAAATGTTTTCTGCCAATGAAATGATTAGCCTGTTGCAGTTGTATTCTATCAGTTGTCACTAATTACAACTATCATTTACCAACTATCAGCTATCACTATGAATCACTAGTACCAGATTTACTTGGAGGCCGTCGTCACTTGTGGTGTGTGGTCTGCACTCGACGCGCTTCTGGTTTTTGAAGCAGAGGGTATTTCATTTCCCTCGAGACTCCTTTCCTTAATTTCACTCTTTGCCCAATATCCCCTCCCTTCAAAAGCGAGAAAGTGTCGGGTGCAGACCATGCACCACAAGTGACGACGGCCTTCACAAAATGTTAATGTTTTCTGCCAATGAAATGATTAGCCTGTTGCAGTTGTATTCTATCGATTGTCACTAATTACAACTATCATTTACCAGAAATCAGCTATCACTATGAACAACTTCTAACCAGATTTACTTGGAGGCCGTCGTCAGTTGTGGTGTTTGGTCTGCACCCGACACTTTCTCGCTTTTTGAAGGGGAGGTTATAAACTTTGCATCTCGCAGCCAGCGTGTCTGCAATGCGGATATAACACCATAGGCGTAACATTGAATAATTAACATTAAATAATTACTATTATCGAAAATCATGCGTGAAATTGACTTTTCAACAGGATTCAACACGTTGTACATGTGTGGGTGTGAAGAAACTAATATCACGCTTTTTTGAAGGTAGTGATTGCTTTGAGTCTTATGGTACGGTGTTGGTTCTACTGCAGATACACTTGGCTGAAAGATTCAAAATACTCGCTCCGTTATTGAATCACACTTATACAACGCTACTGAACAGATAACAGTGTAAAGTATTTGACTGGCATTAGAAAATATTAATTCAACTCGAATTATAACCCAGGCCCCGCGTAGCTGCGACATCGCGAACGAATTTTCGCGACGTCGCGTGGCCCGTGCGGACCTCCTGTAACGCACCCTTTTGATCCATTTATCATTATTTTGGAAGATTATACGGCATGAATATGACTTTGAAGTTCTTCAAAAACACCATAAAAAGCTCTGGATTTCCAGCTCAAGCACTGAATATAAGAGACGATTCAGGGACAGGTGTATTGATAAGAAATACTTACCGAGTAGCCGTGCTCTTCGAATCATCTGCACTTCCCGTTTTATTGTGTGAAGAGTCCAAGGATTTAAGCTGATATGAATTTCCAAAATGTTCACGAATTCCAATCGGACCGAAACTTATTCGGGTAATTCTAGGAGTACAAAATATAAATAATAGAATAAAATATTAATGAAAACCCAAAGGATATTCACTTCAGAAAATTTCACCCTTGATTGCGAGCCGATATGGATCCATCGTTTTTGAATGTGCCACAACCAATATATTGATTTTTGCTGTAATGCCGCCAACTTACTTACTTACTTCTTCCTTCTCGACCGCCATTCGTCCCGAGCACGCCAGAAACGCAGTCGCCAGCATCCTTCCAGCCCGGCGTGTGCGCTTCGTGCTCTCCTGCGCCACAGCTGCCGTTTACGTGTTTACGGAAGGGCCTGGGCCATTCGGGTGGGGGTTCTGGCCTCTGGCCTCGTTTCCCGCCTTAGGTGAAAATCATGTCACGTCTTCTTCCGTCCGCGATGACGTATACAGCCTCGGCCGCTTGGAATTGTAAGATGGCATTTCTCACGACGTCCTTCACCATCGTACGAGCGCGGATGGTGTCATTGGGTATGCGGTCTCGGAGCGTTACCCCGCACATGGCCCTCTCCATGGCTCGCTGAGTGACTGCGAGTTTCTCCTCTTCAGAGACTGTGGTGCTCCACGTCTCCGCCCCGTAGGTCATCGCGGGAAGAACATGCGAGTTGAAGACGTGAGCTTTGACCCCGGGGTCGACGTGCTTAGAAGTTAGTACATCTCGAAGTTTATTGAAAGCGGTCCAGCCCGCTCTGCGGCGTCCGCTAATTTCAAGCGTGAGGTCGTTATTCATGTTGACCGCTTTGCCTACACGTAAGAGGAGACTCGCTCGATATCCTGGCCTTCTAGGAGGATCGGCTGGTACTGAACTTGTTCGTTGTGCATCCACTGAGTCTTGCCGGGATGAATTTGTAGTCCGATTTTGCCGGCTTCCTTGCCTGATGAGGCTCAGGGATTGCGCAATGTCGGCGGGGTCCTCGCCTATCAGAACACAGTCATCAGCGAAGAGGAGATGCGTTAAGCGAACGCCGTCGATGTTCACTCCTCCGGGCAACGAGATTCGCCTCATGATGTTCTCGAGCGCAATAGCGAACAAGTTCGGGGACGTAACCTCGCCTTGTCTGACGCCGCGCCGGATTTGAACACGGACCGGTGTTTTTATGAGTTTGATATCGGTATAACAGCCTATGTTGCGCTGCCGCGTGATTCTGATGTAGGGTTCAGGTGTACCACAATACTTTGAAATTGCTTTGCATTTCGAAAATGATCGATGCCTATCTACTCCAAAGGAAAACCGCCTATTCGCAAACTATGACCGCGGCCTAAGCTATCGATTGTATTGAGCTTGACGAAACGGTTCTAGACCTGGAAAAGCTATGAGAACATCAAAAGCTCATCTATAACACTTCAAAAGCACTATAAAAGCGCATCAATTGGTTAGAAGTTTTTGCATGAAAAAATTCACTACCGTGTGGAAAAAATAAAAAAATTAATTAAATAATTGGAAATGAATTCAAATGATAGGAGAAGACTCACCATCCCATTAGCTGCTAAACTGGGTGGTGGCAGAGGTGCTGAAGAAAGGAACGTGCAATTGTGGTAAGAAATTTTACAGCAAAAGCTGCTCAATGAACATCAACAAGGCCATTCATAATGGATGGAGAAGATGATGAGAAACCAGAACAAGCCCGTAGTACACCACGCTTTTTGAAGGAAAAAAGGAAGGCAAGGTGGGCTTAAACATTAGGCAAGGCAGTTACTGCTACAATAATATGTTTTCTAAAAGATAAAGAAGGCGTTGTACGAAGTCGCTTTCCAGGGGCCGTATGCAACAAGCCCCGAAGGTCTTCGGGGATATATCCCCGAAGTCGTATGCAACAAGCCCCGAAGGTCGTCGGGGATATATCCCCGAAGTCGTATGCAACAAGCCCCGACGATCGTCGGGGACATATCCCCGAAGTCGTATGCAACAAGCCCCGACGATCGTCGGGGACATATCCCCGAAGTCGTATGCAACAAGCCCCGACGATCGTCGGGGACATATCCCCGAAGTCGTATGCAACAAGCCCCGACGATCGTCGGGGACATATCCCCGAAGTCGTATGCAACAAGCCCCGACGATCGTCGGGGACATATCCCCGAAGTCGTATGCAACAAGCCCCGACGATCGTCGGGGACATATCCCCGAAGTCGTATGCAACAAGCCCCGACGATCGTCGGGGACATATCCCCGAAGTCGTATGCAACAAGCCCCCCGACGATCGTCGGGGACATATCCCCGAAGTCGTATGCAACAAGCCCCGACGATCGTCGGGGACATATCCCCGAAGTCGTATGCAACAAGCCCCGACGATCGTCGGGGACATATCCCCGACGACCTTCGGGGCTTGTTGCATAGGGTCGTCGGGGAGGATTCGTCGGGGATGAATCCCCCTAGTCTCGACTAGGGGGATTCATCCCCGACGGCCTCCAAACGTACGTGTTACTTGAGCTAACTCAGTGGTCAGTCAGTTGGACTGTCGACGCGTAAGCGTTGCGGTCCAGCCGACCTCGGTGATGAAACGATTTTACGTATATATCCCACCCTGCGCCGGTGCAATTGCGTACCGCAAGCGATTACAGTACGCCCACGCCTAGTTCTACTGGCGTTGACAGTTGTAACTGATGATCACAGGCGGGGCTCGTGATGAAAGGAAATGGGAGGGCTAATCAATTCATAACTAGCACAGCTCCGAATATTGTACTGAGTTGAGCCATGCATTTCTCCTCTCGGATAGGTGACGGGTACCGACAGATGCTCTACATATCGTTGGAAAACCATTGCGCGCTTGGAAACCACTCTAATTCCTTATGTCATTTTCTTCTTAACATGCAAAATAGGGTAATGTGCTAGGGTATTTATATTGTTCCGCACTAGAACAATCATTGATGTCATTATGCATTGTACTAGTACAGTGAGGGACTCGAAGGGACGAAGTTTACTTGGCACCTGAGGGAAGAGAGAGTTCTAATTCGTGAGGTAGTTTTCATCATGAACTGCTTAGTAGTTGCGTCTCACGGCCACCTTGTTTTCGAGTTTGTAGTTGATTTATTCGCAATTGTAGATATTCCCATAGACATATAGAAATCTGATACGGAGGTATCCTTGTGTGAGGATGACTTGTGCTGAAAGTGAGAGCGCATACTTGTAGATGATAGGCACGGGATATGTTCATTCTTTCTGTAAAAGATGCCGTAAAATGTGATTCAGTTCCATTCGAGATAATCCGCTTACAGGAGCGTTTGCGTTACCGTTGCGAATCAATTTCTTGAGGCGCTAGTGTACTCAAAAGGGGCATGCTCACGCTGACTGAGCCTTGGAGAAGAGGGTGAACTTTGAGGGTAATGAAAACTGCT